CGGGAATCCACCACAGCTGCCCAACGACCTCTCGTACACTCCGATGCCACTGTTAAAATTGGGGGCGCTCAACTCTAGATTCATTCTCCACAACTCGCTGAGCAACGAGAGAGCAAGCCCCCATTTGCCGCACTTCTCGCACACGGTAACTCCACTGCTGTAGCTGATGGCATCGGGTTCTAACTTCACCTCCAGCATCGCGACGAGCAGCGACAATGCCTGCTGCCAATGTCCAACTTTCTCGCACGCGCTGATCCCAGCGCTGTAGCTGACTGAAACTAACCCGTGGCCTACCGGCCACGGAATCTGTCCGAGATTGCACGTTGGACCAGGGCAGAGATGTTGCCAAGAGGATTTCGTGATGATGCTGGGCCTGAACTTCGCCTCTGATGTTGCTGCCTGCAGCTGCAGGTGCTGCTGCCTGTGACATGTTGTTGATGCTGCGTGCTTTCGCTGTGCTGCCGTTGCCTGCTGCGGACTGCTGGTGTTCGCTGTTACTGCTTCAGGCTGCAGAGTGCTGCCTCTTGGGCTAGGTGACGCAACCTGCAGCTCGTGAATGGAGCGAGGAGCGAGGAGCAAGAAGCGAAGAGTCAGGGTCGAGGCAAGAGATGGGGGAAGCGAGGAGCAATCAGCGAGGAGCACGGATGGTGAAGGGAGAAGCGAAGACCGAGGAAAGAGAAAGAGGAGGAAGAGGAGGGGGGCCAGACGCCAGCAGCCAGAAGGGAGAAGCGAGGGGCCAGGAGAGCGGTGGAAGGAGCGAGGAGAAGTGACAAGAAGGAGCGAGGAGAGGGAGGCGAGGGGCGAGGAGAGAGCAGGGAAGGAGCGAGGAGCGCAGAGCGAGGAACGAGGAGGAATAGAGATGAGAAGAGGCCAGCACACGCATATCTCAGTGGCCTCGGCGCGCGTGCCCGAACCTCTGGCCTCCTCTTGGGCCGCTCGTGGGGCTCGCTCGGGCGGCCGGCGCGGCCAGAACGAGCTTTCGAAGGAGGCCTCCCTCGGAATTCTCTTACGAAGGGAGGCCCTTCGAGGGAGGCCTTTCGAGGGAGGCCTCCCTCGAAGGAGGCCTCCCTCGCAATTCTCTCACAGAGAGGCGGTTTCCTGGGGGGCGGCTTGGGGTCGGCGGTCTCGGGGGCACTCCTGGGGCGGAGGGCGCGACATGTCTGCTCAAGGCCCCGCTCTTGGGACCCCCTCTTCGGGCCCTGTTGGGCCCCCTTGGGCGCCTCTCGGGCAGTCTTTGGGTCCTCTCGGGCCGTCTGGGGGCCCTCTTTTCCAGCAGTATCATTCTAAAATGCATATTTTCCAATAGCTCGAACCAGTTCCGCACCACCTCAAAGAGGTATTCCGTGACATGCGCATCTTGCCGTTGCAAGGCTTGTTCACACGGGCGCGTGCTTCTACAGACCGCCAGGTTTCTTGGATCAGACCAAGCATGCCACTTTCCTTTGCCTGAATGTTGCGCTTGGGGGGGAACAGAAAAAAAATGGGGGCCCTCTTGGAAGTCTGTGGGGCCGTCTTGGGGCCAGCTTCAGGGCCGCTTGGGCCGTCTTGGAACGTCGGAAGCCCGAAAAGGCGTGAACGCCAAAATCAATAAGAAACCTGAGGGACATCAGCGACTTGGGTCTCTCGGAGCCCTCTTGGGAAGCCTCTTGGGGGACCTATTGAGAGCCCACTTGGGCCATCTTGGGGCCCTGCTGGGCCGTCTGTGAGCCATGTTCGCGACCTCTTGGATCATCTGGAATTTGGACGCCCGACATGGGCACCGAAAGAATGGGTACGATGCCCAACAGCACATGTTGTCCCAAACCAACAGCGGCCGCTGTTGGGCGGGCGGCCTCCTGTCTCGAATGGATACAGGCCGCGGCGGCGCGGACAGCGGATCCTGTTCAAATTGAACAGGAACTGCTGTTGGGCATAGTACCCATTCTTTCGGGCGTCCAGATGGAAGCGTCTCGGGCTATCTTGGGCCGTCTTGTGGCCGTCTGGGGGCTCCCTGGCCTGGGGCGTCCCGGGACCGACCAGGAGCGCACCGGGGCCGGCCAGGACGAATCTTCGGTACTTTTTGGGTCCGCGCCCAAGTCGAGACTGGTGCCGATCTGCAGATTTCAGACGCACACGGGCTGGCAGCCGAGCGCGCTCACAAAGTGATTGGCCGTGGTGGCGCACGGCGGGACGCGAAGCTTCAAAAAAGATCAACCTTGAAGCTTCAGCCTGAAATTTGTTTGTATCTTGTCTGGCTGGTCTGGTTGATTGGTCTGGTTTGAGCGTAGTGCTGAAGCTGTAGCTCAGGATTCGGGCGAGCGTATTCGGGGAGGTCCAGGGAGGCAGCGCCGACCACTACGACAGCAATACTGCTAGTTGTTGCAATGCAGTTTTTGTTGCGCTGCACATGTTTCGGCATCTGGTCTGGCTAGTCTGGTTGGTCTGACTTGAGCTTAGCCCTGAAGCTGTAACTTAGGAGTCGGGCGAGAGTGGTTCAGGGGAGGTCCAGGGAGGCAGCGCCAAGCGCTAGGACAGCAAAACACAATGTGTTGCATCGCAGTTTGTCTTGCTATGCTGTTTGGTTTGCATCTGGTCTGTCTGGTCTGGTTAGTCTGGCTTGAGCCTAGCTCTGCAGCGTTAGCTTGGGATGAAGTTCTTAGCCGTTGTGGCGCAAAGCGGGACGTCAAGCTTCAAAACAGCAAGCGTCAAGCTTGCCACTGGCATTGCTTGGCGATGCCAGGCAAGCAGTGCCAGGGCAATGCCTGGCAGTACGCCCATGCTGTCGAAAGCTGTCCCCGAATCGGGATCGCGCTGGGTTCATTTGGGGCTCTGCGGGCCTCCCTCGGGGTCCCCTTGGAAGCCTCTCCTCCGGGTGTCCTGGGAGCCCCTCGGGCCCTCTCGAGGCCATCTTGTGCAGTCTCGGGGCCTTCTTGGGCCGTCTGGGAAGCCCGTTGGGCCAATTTGGAGGCCTCTCGCGGTGCGCTTGGACAGTCTGAGCGCGCTCCCACGGCTGTCGCCTCGGGAGCGGCCAAGAGGGGGGTGTCCAAGAGGGGGGGTGCAAATCATGCCCGGCGGCATGTGCGCGGCCCAGCGGGGGGGCCAGGGACGTAATGAAATAATAAGAGGCGCCATGAAATCTGGGGAAATACCATGGCCACCGCCATGATATCCCCCCCCCTAGTCATCACCCCCCTCTTTTCCGCCCCCGATCGTGGGGGTCTCGTCGGAGCAATCGAGTGCCCCCCGGGACCCTCCGTGGGCGGGCCCGAGTTTTTGGCCGGGGCTGGTGGCACTGCTCACGGTGCTGTGGAGGAACTTACGCTGGGCTCCAGCTGCGCCTCCCGCATCTCGCCGAGCAGCGACAGAGCCTGCTGCCACTGCTCGCCCTTCTCGCACGCGCTCACTCCAGCGTTGTAGCTGAGGACGTCGGCCTCCACCTTCGCCCCCTGCATCCCGCGAAGCACCGAAAGAGCCAGCTGCCACCGCCCGCTCTTCCCACACGCGCTGATCCAAGCGCTGTAGCTGATAGGATGGCGCGTGCGTAAATGTAATCCTCAGCATGCGGCAAGGGCTCCCAACTTCGCGCTTCGCGCTGCGCGAAGCGCGAAGTGCGAATAACTTCGCGCTCTCGCGCCGCCTCCCAGGGGAGAAGAGGAGGATGAGGAGGAACGGAGCCGACTCGCGAAGCGCGAAGCGCGAATAACTTCGCGCCCTCGAGGGCGCCCTTGATGCGGATGGTGCCCCTCCTGGGCCGTCGGTGGTGCCGAGGCGGCCGTCGCGCCGCCTCGGGCCTGCGTGAGCCCACCTCGAGGCGGAGACGCCCGCATGCCAACAGGCAAGCTCTGAGCGAGCGGTGGCCTGATTCGGCGGCGAGCGACGGGGGGGGGGAGCGAGAAAGAGAAGACCCTGTGAGAAGGCGGCGGGGCTTCTCAGAAGCCCTCCGGTCTTCTGAGGGGCTTTTGTGTCTTCGGGGAAAGCGTAGAAAACGTGTCAGAAGGCCAAGGGGACTTCCGAGCCCTCCGAGAAGGCCCGGCCCTTCTCACTTCACCCCCGGGCTCTCCGCCGACTGATAGTCTTCAGCGCGCCTGATTTGTAAGGTGCCTCCTGGAAGCCACTCCGGACCCTCATGAGCGCCTCTCGGGGAACTGCTCGTGGACATGTTGGGGGCGTGGGTGGAGCACATCGGGGTATTGGGCACGTCTTGGCAGGTCAGCCGCATGGCAAGGAGGCCTGAGCAGCTCGGGAGCGTGCCGAGGGGCTTTTTGGGGGGCCTCACGGCAGGCCCTCCGGGGGCTGCGTGGGGGTCCTTGGCGCTGCCTTCTGCAGTCGTGGGCTGCCCAGGGCTGCGCCTGGGCCGTCCGGAGGGGCCAAGTGTGGCACGCCAGTGCCGACAAGGGCAATGTACAGGGAAGCGGTCCGTGAGGGGCCTGCTTTCCACCACCACCACCGCCACCACCACAAGTTGGGGGGGGAAGGAGGAGGAGGAGGAGGAGGAGGAGGAGGAGGAGGAGGAGGAGGAGGAGGAGGAGGAGGAGGAGGAGGGGGAGAAGGGGAAGGAGGAGCAGGAGGAGGAGAGGAGGAGGAGGAGGAGGAGGAGGAGGAGGAGGAGGAGGCTGCCTCGTGGCCGTGTGCTGAAGCCGCTCGGGGCCTTCTCGGAGCTCCCTCGGGCACGTCCTGGAGGCCTCTGGAGGCCTCCTCCTCCTCCTCCCCCTTCTCCTCCTCCTCCTCCTCCTCCTCCTCCTCCTCCTGTAGCATGCGGGGCCAGGAACAGGAATCAGGCAGAACGTGACCAGGATTCTGAGCGACTGTGGCGCGTAAGAGTGTTCTGGGAGGAGTCTTCTTGGGGCTACCTGGGATCTGGTGGAGTCTGGGTCTCGGCCCCACTTTGTCGGATCTGGGGTCGACTGGGAGGTCACGGACACTCACGGCGCCTGGGATGCCCCGGGTGTCCAGGTGCCGCGAATACCCTGGATGGCGTTCTCATATGCGCAGCCACCCGAGGATGACGTCGGGCTTCAACTTCGCACCCCGCATCTCGCTGAGCAGAGACAAGGCCCGCTGCCACTGCTCGCCCTTCTCACACGCGCTGACTGCCGCGTTATAGCTGACTGGGACTGACCCGCGGACTGCCGCCCACGAGATCTGCTCGAACCGGCACGCGATGGGATGGCCAAGATGCTGCTCACCGAGCTCGCGACGACGTCCGGGCCCGAGGCCCGAGCAGCGAGCAGGGAAAAGGCCAGCAAACAGTGGGCGGGGACGAGCGGGGACTTGCCGTCGCTCGGACGTCCCTTTCCCGTGCACTTCTCGGTGCCTTGCGCGTTTTTGTTTGGCTCGCTGGTCCAGGATGGTGTCCTCGATGGTTCTCGCCGAGAGAAAAATGCACACGTCCGAGGGACGCCAGGAGGAGGAGCGAGTGCTCTTGAGGCCACGGCGTGGCCGCGTCGACTGCCGAGATGGAGGTGCGAGGAGGGCAGCGGCAGAAGCTGGAAGCCAGGAGTGGGCGGCGAGGGACTACAGTCATCGGCCTGACCTAAGGAACGATAAATAAGGAACGAAGCCACTTTTTTTTATCCCAAGGAATAACGCATAAGGAACGATACATAACACATGACGCATAAGGAACTGTAAAACAACGCATGCAAACCTAAGGAACGACCGAGCCCCTTTTGAAAAGCAAGTGTTCCTTATTCAAGCCGCTCACTGTAGGCGAGAAGAGCGAGCAGCGAGGGGTGAGAGGAACAAAGATCGAAGAGAGAGGGGCAAGGATCCAAGCGCTTGGAAGATCCCCAGGGAGTCTGGGGGAGTCGCCCGAGGAGCTCCCGTGGACTGCTGGCCGCGAGGGCGGGATCGCATGCAGGGGTGAAAATCGCTCGCCTGTCTGGCCGCTCGCCTGCCGTCGAGCTTGCACGGCTGCTGGCCTGGTGTCCTGATCGTGGTTGGCCTGATACTCATGGTTTGTCCGACCGTTCGCTGCCGCTTGCTGACTCTTGGTGGTGACGATTGCCGGAACTCTTTGTGTACATGGTGTTCCTCATTCTTGCAACTACGGGATGGTGTTGGTTGTTACGTGCTGCTGTTCGATGCGGCTTGGCGCTGTTGCGTCCTGCTGCTTGGTACTTGATGCTGCTGTGTGATGCTGGTTGCTGCCGCTGTTGCGTGGTGTTCGAACTGTTTGCTGCTGATTACCAATGATGCTCGTTGCGTGCTGCTGCAGGGTGTTGCTGCCGCTGCATGCTGCTGCTTGCTGTTGCTGTGTGCTGCCCGCTGCTGCTGCTGCTGCTGCTGCTGCTGCCCGCCGCTGCTGCTGCTGCTGCCCGCTGCTGCCCGCTGCTGCTGCTGCCTGCCTGCCTGCCTGCTTCGTGCTGAGTCCTGCTGCTCGCTGGTGCGATGCGATGCTGCGGGGTGCTGCTTCTCGCTGGCCCAGCTGGCCGGCGCAGCCTGCCGCTGATGCGAAGCGAGGAGGCGAAAAAGCACGGAGCGAGGAGGCAGGGTCGGGGAAGGAGGCAGGAGCGAGGAGCGATCAGCGAGGGGCAAGAAGCGGGAAGCGACAGCCGAGCGAGAGAGGCGGCACGCGGTGAGGGAGCGCCTCGGAGGGAGGCACAGGCTCGCTCATCAGTCGAGGGAGGAGGTGCCCCTCTGAGCTTCGGGTGCTGACCTCTGCAAGCGGAGGGAGGAGGGAGGTGCGAGTAGCCAGGAGGGAGGGGCAAGGGGCCAGGAGAGAGGAGCGCGGGGCGAGGAGTAAGAAGAGAGGAGCCAGGAGCGAGGAGGGAGTGGCGATAAGCGAGGAGCCATGGGCGAGGAGCCTGGAGCGGGGCTTGAGAAGCGAGGGGTGAGGTTTGAGAGGCGGCCAGCACACGAATCTCCCAACGGCCTTGGCGCGAGCGTGGTCGAACACCTGGTCTTCTCTTGGGGCCGTCTTGGGGCATCCTTTGATGCTTCTTGGGCTCCCTTCGGGCCCTCTGGGCGCCCCGAAGTCCTTGGTGCTGTTGTGCGGGGGGGTCCGGGAACACTCCGAGGGGGGAGGGAGGCCGTGGGGCCACTTTGAAGCGGTCGCGTGCATTCTTGGGGCGTCTTGGGACCATCTTGCAGGGTGGCAGGGCACCTCTTGGGCCATCTTGGGGGCCCCTTGTGGGCCTGGGGGGCTCTCTTGGAGGTCTCTCGAGCCCTTCGCAGAGCGATCTGGAACTGAACAGTGGAGAGCTGTGAACATGCACCAAAAAAACTCGCAGGAAATACAATATTTACCCTTGTCGGAGGCCCTCGGTAGAGCCTTCGTAGAGCGTGCTTGGGGAAAGCCTAGCCGCTCATCCGAAGCCGTCTGACCAGGACGAAATCATCCGAGACGATTGCATCAAGACAAATTCGTCCGGACAACTTGCTCCAGACGAGTTCATCCGAAGACGAGTTCATGCGAAGACGAATTCATCCGAATCACTTCATCCGAACAAATTCTTCTGGACAAATTCTTCCGAAAAGCTTCTGGAAGATTCCGCTCGGCCAGATGTGGAGAGCATCCGAGCGACCTCGATCGAAGACGAATTCGTCCGAGACGACTTCGCTCGGACAAATTCTTCTGGACGACTTCTTCCGAGGCGACTTCGTCCGGACGACTTCTTTTGGGATGTCGCGCTCGGCCCGGACGCGGAGAGCCTCCGAGCGACATCGCCCTCAGAGACGCCTTGATTTGAGCTGACGTCATCTGAACGAGCTCCTCTTGGACGAGAAGAGGAGGAGGGGAGGAGGAGGGAGGAGGGAGGGGGGAGGAGGGAGGGAGGGAGGAGGGAGGGGGAGGGGGAGGGAGGGAGGGAGGGAGGGAGGGAGGGAGGGAGGGAGGGAGGGAGGGAAGGGAGTGAGGGAGGGGGAGGAGGAGGAGGAGGAGGAGAGGAGGAGGAGGAGGAGGAGGAGTACCTCCGAACAAGTTGTCTCACCTGGGCGACGCCCACAAGTGGGCGGCAGCGGGGCGGCGACGGGCAGCGACGCGGCGAAACCTCCACGAGCCTCCCGCGCGGGCGGCACCGAGGCCGCCCGGGCCGGCAACTGGGGCGGGAGGCGACGAGACCTTCCACGGACCCCCTCCTCCGCTCCTCCTCCTCCTCCTCCTCCTCCTCCTCCTCCTCCTCCTCCTCCTCCCTCCTCCTCCTCCTCCTCCTCCTCCTCCTCCTCCTCCTCCCCCAGGGCGAGCGGAGATGGGGCGGCCTCGAGGGGGAAGCGGGCAGCGGTGCACCGAAACTTGCACAGACACCCCAAGTGGACGGCAACGAGGCGGCAACGGGCAGCGATGCGGCGAAATTTCCACGGAGGCCCCAAGCGGGCGGCAGCGAGGCGGCAACGGGCGGCGACGCTGCGAAGCATCCAGGCTCGTGGCAACGCAGAAGGACGGAAGGCACTACGATGCCACCCGAAGCACCGCGCGGCAACGCCTGGGGGCCGAAACAAGAAGGCTCCACTCTGCTCGGCAGTCGCCAGGTGGCAACGCCTGGGGCGGCGAGCAAACAGCTATTTCACTTTACTGAAGGGGCCCTGGGACACAAAAAAACAGATACACACAAATAACAGGAGTCCCCCATATTTTCCCATATGTTCTGGGTTTTCTCTTCCCGCCCAGTTCCGAGATTTTCTCACATTTTCTGGGGAGTCGACGATTAAGTGTGTCTGTGTGTTTCGTTCCCTCCTGATTTACTCGTCATGTCGCAATGTCGCGGGGCGGGGAGTGTACTGCTCAACCGTACTCGCCACACGGCAACGCCTGGCGGGCGGAAAGCATGCTATTCCACTCCACTCGCCACGTGGCAATGTCTCGGGGGCGAAACCAAGTAGTGACGATTCCACTCTACTCGCCACGAAGCATCGCTAAGGGGGCGAACAAGCAACTAGTTCACTGTTCTCGCCATGTCGCAGTGTCGCGGGGCGGGGGATGTACTACTCAACCGTACTCGCCACACGGCAGCGCCTGGCGGGCGGAAAGCATGCTATTCCACTCCACTCGCAACGTGGCAACGTCTCGGGGGCGAAACCAAGTAGTGACGATTCCACTCTACTCGCCACGAAGCATCGCCTGGGGGGCGAACAAGCAACTAGTTCACTGTACTCGTCATGTCGCAGTGTCGCGGGGCGGGGGATGTACTAACCCCAGGAAGCATTTAAGAACCCCCCCGGCGATATCTTAGCACCGCATTTTTATTCGATATTCCGAGGGGCCGAAATAACCGCACGATAGGTTTAGCACCCGGACACGCAACAAATTCGCGGAGGCCTGGCCCCTGGGCTACAATCGAAATTCGAAATTCAAATCTGCGTGGCTCTCATGAAAGACTCAGGATGTCGCTTGCTGCTTGGGCCCTGACAGGCCTTGGGCCCCGAGGGAAGGAGGGGGGCGCGGGAGGAGGAGGAGGAGGAGGAGGAGGAGGGGGCAGGAGGAAGTTCGTGGGTGGAGGAGAGGAGGAGGAGGAGGAGGAGGATGAGGAGGAGGAGGAGGAGGGCTCCTGGTGCCAGGTAACGCTTCCAGGGTGCGGAAGGGTTATCGATTTGCCGGAAGGGGGGGGGGGGGGTTCTTAAATGCTTCCTGGGGTTACTCAGCCGTACTCGCCACACGGCAGCGCCTGGCGGGCGGAAGGCATGCTATTCCACTCCTCTCGCCACGTGGCAACGTCTCGGGGGCGAAACCAAATAATGACGATTCCAATCGACACGTCACGTGGCAATGGCGGTGGGGCATGGGGGGGAAACTATACCATTCCACTCTTACTCGTCACGTGGCAGCGTCTTGGGGGTGAACAAATACGATGTCTCTGGGCCGGGAGGAAACTATGCCATTCAACTCGCCACATGTCAACGCAGCCAGACGAAACAACCTGCACTCTCCCGTCGAATGCCTTCGGGAGGACCCGGGTCACGGGCCTCCCAAGGCATGTTCTTCGAGCGAGCGACGACGAAAGCGACCAAAACGACGACGACGACGACGACGACGACGACGACGACGACGACGATCACGACGGCGACGACGACGGCGACGACGACGACGACGACGACGACGACGACGACGACGGCAAATCATGGGGAACGAGGGCGGTGCGGGCGGTGCCCCTCGTAAGCATCACCATAACCATCCTCGTCGGCATTGCCATCCTCATCGTGCTCATCATCGTCGCCGCCATCATCACCACCACCACCATCGGCAACATTGACATCATCATCATCATCATCATCATCATCATCATCATCACCATCATCACCATCATCACCATCATCACCATCGCCAACGTAGGCTATCAGCAGCTTCGTCCCAATCGTCGTGGTCATCGGCGTAATCGCCATCGTCAACATGATCGTCGCCGTCATTGCAAACCGCAATAGCATCGACATCGACAGCGCCACGGCATCGCATGCGCCTCCCCTCCTCTTTTCCGACCTCGCCTCCTCCTCCGCCCCTCCCTCACCCTCCCCTGCCACCCCCTGCGTGTGCCCCTCACCCCTTCATTTCCCCAGCCCGCAGTCCCCGCCCCGCTGACTCTGTACACAACGACAACGACGAGCCGACGACAAGGCGGGGCAATCGACGACGGACGGCGACTGAGGATAGACGACGACGCTAGAGGACGGACGGCGACAACTGAGACGACTGCCGAAACCGACGAGGGATACCTCGACGACGGCACGACTCGTATGTTCCCTGCCTCCCTCCCATGTCGCATGCCCTGCCTTTTTGCCTCTCCGTTCTCCCCCGTCTTCCCCTTCGTGCCACCAACCGTGCCCTCCCCTTTCCTGCGCACCACAGAAGATCCCGCTCACGTCCACTGGGGCGATGCCACGCGCTCGCGAGAGAGCTGAACAACCTTCGCGCGTCGCGACCCGGGATGCGGAGAGCGCGATTACCGTAGCCGGGCGCCCTCGCGAAAGACCCAGGACCAGAGCAGAGGACCGGCCGAAACCGAGGCGAAGTGCATTTTACCGCGGCGGCCCCGCGATTGCCCTTGAAGAAAACACGGCGACGTCGAGTGTCGAGTGACGACTGCGAGTGCGGCGCACAAAAGAAATATAACACTACACAAGGAAATCTAGACTATAAAATAATCACCACCACCGTCGTCAACATGGGCATCGTCATCGTCTTCGTCATCATCACCGTCGACGCCGGCTAGACGAATTCTTCCAGGACGCCTTCTCCTGGACTAGCTCTTCCGAACGGGTTCTGCCGGAACAACCTCTTCGGGGACGACTTCTTCCAGGACGATTCCTTCTGGAACGGATTCATCCAGGACGTGTTCTTCTGGGGCGAAAAGCTTTCACATCGAGTTCATCCGGAAGAGATTCTTCTGGACGAATGCTTCCGGGACGAGCTCAACCTGGAACGAGTTCTTCAGGAACGAATTCATCCGAAACGAGTACTTCGGGCTTCCAAGGCGAATTCTTCCGGATCGAGTTCATCCTGAATGCGTTCTTATAGACGAATTCTTCCGAATAAGATCATTCATTCCTGAATCTTTGTCACCAGCAAAACGTTCTTGAACAGTGAAACTCATCCGAACGACTCCATCCGAGCGAGATCTTCCAGACGAATCCATCTGGAAACGAAGTCGTCCGCAGACAACTTCACCCAGGAGAATTCCTCCGGACAACTTCCTCCGGACGAGTGCCCCTGGACAAAAGCGCTCTTCTGGAGGAGCTCGTCGCGGATGACAGTGTTCAGGAGGAGCTGTCCGTCTTCCGGGGCCGCCTCGGCGCCGTCATTGGGGCACCTTGGAGGCTCTGTGGGGCCGCCCGGGGTCGACCGAGGGCTCCCTTGCCTGGGGCCGCCTGGGCATGTCTCGGGGGGCGCCCTGCGACCGTGCGGGGTCTCCAGGACCGCTCCGATGGCGGCCGAGGCGGCCAGAAAGACCGCACCAAAGCACGAGCCACCTTCGCACGCGGGGGCTCCTGGTTCACTCTGGTCCCCCTCCTCCTCCTCCTCCTCCTCCTCCTCCTCCTCCTCCTCATCCTCCTCCTCCTCCTTCTCCTCCTCCTCCTCCTCCTCCTCCCTCCTCCTCCTACTCTCCTCCTCCTCCTCCTCCCTCCTCCTCCTCCTCCTCCTCCTCCTGCTTAATCCTGAGTCGCTCCTTGACGGTGCTGGGGCTGGATCGTAGGAGACAAGACGTCGGGATCCTGCTGCGCCTCCCGCATCTCCCCGAGCAGCGACAGGGCCCGCTGCCACTGCTCGCCTTTCTCGCACGCGCTGATTCCGGCGCTGTAACTGATGACGTCGGGCGTCAACCTTGCCATCCACATCTTGCTGAGCAGCGACAAAGCCCGCTGCCACTGCTCGCCTTTCTCACACGCGCTGATCCCAGCGTTGTAACTGACTAGGGCAGACCTGTGGACTCCGTCCACGACATCAGCTCGACGTGGCGAGGGGTCTCTGGGCAAGCGCGAGGGGGTGCGGCTGCAGGGCCGAAAGGCAATCATGATAGCGTCGGGCTCCAGCTTCGGAGGTCCTGCTGCTTCCTCCCCCTCCTCCTCCTCCTCCTCCGCCTCCTCCTCCTCCTCCTCTTCCACCTTCTTCTCCTCTTTCGCTGGATTCTCCATGCCCTCGGTCGGCAATCGTCGATCCCACGACGACTCTCCCCAACAGAGAAACATCGAAGGCCCTCGGAGCGTCCAACATTGTTCTTTTGTGCCTTCGATATGCCGGTCGCCTCTCGTCCGCTCCCCCCCTCCTGGAAGCAATTCTGAGCCACTTAGGGCTTCGTGGGGGCCGTTTGGGGATCTCTTGGGGCGTTTTTGCCTGCGATATGCCTGTCGCCTCTCGTCCGCTCCCCCGCTCCTGGAGGGAATTCTGAAGCCACTGAAGGCTTCGTGGGGGCCGTTTCGGAGCCTCTTCGGCCTTCTTTTGGGCCTCCCGGGGGGGCTCTTAGGGCCCTCTCGGGCCGTCTTGGGTGCCTCTTGGGCCGTCTTGGGGCCGTCTGAGGCCCGCCTCGGCGCCTCTTGGACTGTCTTGGGCCGTCTTGGGCAGCTCCTGGGGCCGTCTTGGGTGCCTCTTGGGCCGTCTTGGGCGCCTCCTGGGCCGTCCGGGGGCCGTCCTGGGGCGTCTGGGCACCGTCTGGGGGCCCTCCTGGCCCGTCTTGGGGCTCTCTTGGGGTCCTCTTCGGCCGTCTTGGAGCGTTCGGGGGGACTTCTTGGGCCGTCTTGGAGCGTCGGGAAGCCGAAGAGGCGAGGAGGGCGAAAACATCGAAAAACACAGTAGAAATCGACGATTTCTGTCGCTCGGGGCCCTCTTGGGAGGCCTCTTGGGAGGCCTCTTCGGGCGTCTTGGACGCCTCTTGGGCCGTCTGGGGCGAATCTCGGGCGTCTTGGGCCCATCTTTAAGCGTGCCGGGGCTCTCCGGGGCCGTCTTGGGGGCTTCTGAGGGCCCTCTCGACATGTCCTGGAGCCTGCCTGGGCGGCCCTGGGCGGCCCGGGGCCAGCCCGGGGCGGTTTCGGTGCATTGGGGCCTGCGCCATTCTGGCACGCACTGGGCCCTGCAATGTAGTAGAGACTAGGGCTGACCCGTGGACTACGTCCACTTGCGGGGTGAAGAGGTGCTGCCGCAAGACGATCAGGATGAATGGCGTCATGTTCGCCTGCCACACATCGCTGAGCGAGGAGACGGAGGAGCGTCTGGACGCCCCACCTGGGGTGCTCAAGGGCTCCCTTGTGATCGGGTCGGGCTTTGTCGGTGCGTTGGGTCCGACCTACTCGGGGCGTTCTGGGGCCGTTTGGGGGCCTTCTGAGGGGCCCCAGGATCACCAAGACGCCTCCAAGATAGCCCCATAATCGCCGCCCGCCCAGAATCGGCGGGACCGATTCTGGGACACCGCGCCGCCGACCCAGAATCCCGCCCGACGCGCCCTGGGCGGCCGCGCGCGCTTCCGGGGTCGGGGGGGGCGGTTCTGCGCCACCAGGAAAGCGAAACACGGCATGGCCCCACGAGGCCGCGGAGAGGGCTCCAGACCGACAAAATGGGCGAGGGATTCTGGGGCCAAATCCGGCAGGGAGCACCAAACAAGCATCAGAGGCCCATGGTGCGCTGGGAGCCGTTTTGGGACCGTCTGTGGCCGTCTTAGGCCGTCTTTGGCTGCTGTTGGTGCTGTCTTCGGTGCTTCTTGGGCCGTGATCTGGGGGCCTCTGGAGGTCGTTTTGGAACCTCTCACTCAGCACTTTTTTTCGGCCTCCTGGAAGCCTCCTGGGGCCCTCTTGGGCTGTCTCGGGTGCCGGGCCGTGTGGAGGCGGTCCGGGGCCGTCTGAGGGTTGTTTGGGGCCGTCTTGGGCGTCTCTGGGGCAGTCTGGGCACCGTCTGGGGGTCGTCGAAGGCCGTCCTGGGCCGCTCTTGAATCTGTCTTGGGCGCCCCGTGGGCCGCCAGGGGCGCCTCAGGAGCCGTCCTAGGGCAATCTTGGGGCCCTGTATGGCCGTCTTGGACGCTATGATCAGGGCAAGCCCGAAAACTGCCAACATGTACGTTTCCTGGGGGGAATGTGACGATTTTTCGGTGTTCGGGCTCTCTTGGGGCTCGTCGTGAAGCCCACTTGGAGCGTTTTGGAAGCCTCTTGGGCCGTCTGGAGGCCGTCTGAAGCGTTGTCGGGGCCGTCTGGGGGTTGCCTGGGGCAGCCTTGGGCGTCTCTGGAACAGCCTGGGCACCGTCTGGGGGTTGTTTTGGGCAGTCTGGGCCGCTCTTGAGGCTGTCTTGGGTACCCCGTGGGCCGCCAGGGGCGCCTCAGGAGCCGTCCTGGGGTCGTCTTGGCCGTCTTCGAGCCCTCGGGGCATCTTAGGGCGATCTTGGGGGCCTCTACGTATGGCCGTCGTGGACGCCTCGAAGACGAAAAGCACGATAATGGCCAACATATGCGTTTTCCGATGGGAATGTGACGATTTTGGCTTCGTGGGGCTCTCTTGGGAGGTCCTCCAGGGCCGTCTTGGGAGCCTCCTGACCTGCGTGCCTTGGGGGCTTCTGGGGCCGTCGAAGCGCCCTCTGGAGCGGTTCGGGGCCGTCTATGGGCCGTCGGGGCGGCCTCTTCAGCGTCTCGGAGCCGTTTTGGAGCCGTCTGGGGGCTCTCCGGGGCTCGCAGGGGCCGCCGGCTACGCTTTCCCCGTGGCCCGCCTTTCCCGCACGCGCGGGCCCCTGCATTGTAGCAGAGACTCGGGCTGACCCGTGGACTTACGTCCACGACAGGGCCTCTTCGAGCTCTGCGGGCCTCTTCGAGCTCCTCTTGAGGTTCCTCGTGGGCCTCTTCGAGCTCTGCGGGCCGGTGCTGGGTCGCTCCTGGACGACATCGACGGTATCCCGAGGCCCTACATAGAGGGTCAACCTCAGACGGTTCAAAATTCTCTGTGGAGGTCCCGGGGCTACCCGCCGCCATGCAGGGCCGTTGGGGACTCACTAAAGGTAAGACCTTTCTAACACGCACGGGGCCCAGAATTCTTGTTGTGTTGTGACATCGGGCTCCAACTTCGCTTCCCACATCTCGCTGAGCAGCGAAAGCGCCCGCTGCCACTGCGCGCCTTTTTCACACGCGCTGATCCCAGCGTTGTAACTGACCAGGATGGTATCGCGGCTACTACCTTCGGAGCCTCATGGAGCTGGGGTGGCGCAGCTTGATCGCGAGGCCCACGCTCATCCCACGCTCGACCCACGCTGGGGCCATATCTATAACCTGTAAATACATATATGATTCATCTGTGGGACTGAAATGCGGACAATCATAAACGCTGTCCGCTCGGAATATAACCGTCGGGGGCCTCGACTGCGCACCCCAGTGCAGCTACGATTGAGACCCAGGGGAGCTCCTGGATGTTCTGCGCAGCACCGCGGCAGCCTCACAAACCAACCAATCAATCAGTCAACCATCAATCAATCATAACTCAAATTGTACCAGCACCGACATCGACATCAACATCTGTCTCTTCATCAACAGCAGTATCATCACCATCTTCACTATCGCCATCGTCGTCATCATCATAATTAGCGTCACCGTCATCATCACCATCACCGTCACCATCAACGTCGGATCAACATCCGCATCAACATCGGCCTCCTTACCTCTCTCCCTCCTCATAATCAATATCAGGATCATCAGCAGCAGCACCACCATCAGCATGGCCACCGTCATCCTCCTCCTCCTCATCATCACCATCATCAACATCAGCATCAGCATCATCAGCAGCAGCCGCATCATCAGTATCATGGCCATCATCATCATCATCATCACCATCACCACCATCACCAACACCATCATCATCATCATCATCATCATCATCATCATCATCATCATCATCACCCTCAACATCATCATCATCCCCATCATCATCAGCAACAGCATCCGTAGCATCATCGTCGCCCCTCCTTTTTTCCACATCTACCTTATCGTTACTATCATCCCCCTCCTCATCCAACACATGATGTTCCTGATCCTCCTCCTCCTCCTCCTCCTCCTCCTCCTCCTCCCCCTCCTCCTCCTCCTCCGTGCTCCACGGCCCCGGGGCCCCCGAGTCCGAAGGGGACCCCGGGGCGGCCGGGGCGGCCGCGCCGCGCGCGCCCCGCGCGCCCAGCGCGCACGGCCCCGCGCGCTACGCGCGGCGGCCAGGCAGCGGCGGCTGGCGGCCCCGGCGGGGGGGGAGCCTCCGGCCGCCGCCGGCGCCGCCGCCCAAACCGCCGCCTCACTCCGCCTTGGCCAGCGGTTCCGAGCGGCGGTTTCCGCTTCTGCCGCCTCCGCCTCCGCCTCCGCTTCTGACTGGGGCTCTGAGGGGCGGCCTCTCGCGCCCGGGCCTCTCGCAGGCTTCCCCCCTCCCCTTCATCCTCCTCCTCCTCCATCGTCTCCTGCTCCTTTCTCTTCTTTCCCTCTCCGCCTGCTCCTCCTCCCCCTCCCCCCTCCTCCTCCTCCTCCTCCTCCTCCTCCTCCTCCTCCCTCCTCCTCCTCCTCCTCCTCCTCCTCCTCCTCCTCCTCCTCCTCCTCCTCCTCGGCATCATCATCATCCTCCACTCACCGTGCGCCTTCCAATCCATGACGTGCATCGGTGCCAGCGGGGAGCTCACGGACTGCCTCCTCGGGAGCGCCGTGGGTCCGTGCGCCGCCCCGGGGCAGTGCAAGTTCCGGGGCGCGCCCGTGCTGGACGCTCCCGCCTGCGCGCGGGCATCGCCCCTCGACGTCGGCGTGGCTCGCAGGGGCGAGAGCGGGAACTGCTAGGGTTTGTAGGAGACCGATTTCTGACCACACCCACTTCCCGAGGTGCCTTGCGAAAAGCGGTTTCCAGAGGTGGAGGTGGGCAGTTTCCCCGCCCCAGGGGAAGGAAACACTACCCACTTCCACCCCCGAGGGCCTATCATGGAATCGAGGATCCATGGGTGGATGTGGTCAGAAATCGGTCTTCGAGTTTGGCCCCAGGTCTGGCCCAAATCGGGGTCTTTCCCCCCCCCCACCACCACCCCAGAGCGCCGACCACGGCATCCCCCGCTCGGTTTCAGGCGGCCGGGATTTCGGCCCGCGCCCACGCGAACCAGACCCCCCCCAGGTCGGGGTCCTGAGATTCTGGCTGTGGCTCAGAGAGAGCTCTGCGGATGTCCTCACCCAAACCGCATCTGTCTCCACCAATCAATAATTCAAAAAAAGGAAAAACAAAATTGTCGAGGCCCTGGTTTTGTTTCCTGGTGGGGGACGGACCCGACAAGCGAGCCCGAGCGGGGGGGTCCGATACCCCAGCGTCGATTGGATCCGCAGTGGTAGGGTTCGCACTTGATCCCGGACCAGGAGGGTGAAGATGCTGAGAATAGCAGAGAAACCGCATGCTCTGCCTCCGAGGGGCCTCTTGGGAGCCTCACTGGGGGCCTGGGAGCCTGCTGGGGGCACGCTGGGGGCCTGTCGGGGTCTTGGGGCGACGCCAAGCGTGCACTGGATCAGCTTCATACCTGCCGCCGCGCGTGCCAGAACGTGTGGAAGCGTGTATCGAACTGGTCTGCCACACGCCTGGCGTCGTCCAAGTCTTGGTGGTCCATAGGCAGTCAAGGGCCTCGGGGTCGTCCCAGGGCCATCCAGCGCTGGTCCAGATTGCTCAAGAGCCATCCTCGGAGCGTGCGCCCGGGCCGTCCTCGCGCTGCCTTCGAGGGCGCGGTTCGTCACCGAGGTGCACAGCTGCTTGCCTCGCTTGCACGCGCGAGCCTGTGCCAAGCCGAGGCGGTGCAGAGGGCCGCAGGACGCCGAGGTCAGCGGTGCAACCCGAGCAGCTGCTCAAGGCGGGCGGACGAGGACCTAGAGCACGGGCGCCTAACTTCGCGCTGCGCGAAGTGCGAATAACTTCGCCCTCGAGGGCGCCTTTGTAGAGTCCCCCTCTGGCGCGCGCGACTCCCGGCAATGCAGATGGTATAATGATGACGCTGGGCTCCAGCTTCGCCTTCCAAATCTCGCTGAGCAGCCTCAGGGCGAACTGCCACTGCTCGGCTTTCTCACACGCGCTGATCCCAGCGCTGTAGCTGACTAGGGCGAACCCGTGGACTTCGTCCACGACCAGCAGGTCCCCCTGGCGGGCCTCCACGTTGGGCTCCCGCCCCGGAAGAATCCACCTCGAAGCCTTCGGTTACGTTTTCCGGCCGCCTTTCCGAAGTTGGAAGGCGGGCGGTTCCTCCTGTTCGTCCGCCTTCCGCTCCACGTCCGCCTGGACAGCCTTCGAAGCGTCACAGACGGCTATGGTGGGACTGTCGTGTGCCTCTCGCCGCTTGTCTGCTCACCCTGGTTTGAACCATTTTGAGGTGACTTTTTTCCGGTTGACTTTTCGAAGCCTGATGGCGGGCGCTGCCTTCTGCTTGGGAACTGTTTGGGGGCCTCTCGGGGTTCCTTTTCGGCCTCCTGGGGGCCTCTTGGGGCCCTTTTGGGCCGTCTTGCGGCCTCCTGGGGTCCTCTTGTGGCCCTCTTGGGCCGCCTTCTGGCGTCTTCTTGGGGCGATTTGGGAGGCCTCTTGGCGTGTCCTGGGCCGCTGAGGAGCACACAAGGCGGGCATGCTGAAAATATACGTTTTCCAGGAAGTTGACGTTTTGTGCCTCTTTGGCGTGTGCTCGGGGCCCTTTTGGGACGTCTTTGCGGCCTCTTGGATCGTCGTGGAGCCCCCACGGAAGGCTTCGCTCCCTCGTGGGCCGTCTCGGGACCCACTGAGGCCGTCTTGGAGCGCTCTTGGACGGTCTGGGAACCCCTCTGGAGCGCCTCTGGGACCGGCCTGAGCGATTCGGCCCCGTGGTGGCGCCGTAAAGGGGCGATTTTGTGCACTTGAGGCCCTGGGCTTCTCGCACGCGCTTCCACCGGCCATGTAGGAGAGACTATATGGCGAACCCGTGAACTTCGTCCACGCCCAGCAAGTCCCCCTAGCGCGCCTCCACGTTGGGTCCCCGTCCAGGAAAAAGTCACCCCGAAGCCTTCCATTACTTTTTCCGGCCGCCTTTCCGAAGTTGGAAGGCGGGCGTTTCCTCCTCTCCTCTTCGTCCGCCTTCCGCTCCACGTCCGCCTGGACAGCCTTCGAAGCGTCACAGACGGCTATGGTGGGACTGCGGTGTGCCACTCGCCGCTTGTCTGCTCCCCCTGGTTTGAACAATTTTGAACGCACCTGGGGCCTAGAAAAAAGTCACCCAGAGGGCTCTGATGGCGGGCGCTGCCTTCTCCTTGGGAAGTGTGGGGGCCTCTCGGGGTTTCTTTTCGCCCTCTGGGGGCCTCTCGGGGCCCTCTTGGGCCGACTTGCGGCCTCCTGGGGTCCTCTTGGGGCCCTCTTGGGCCGTCTTGGGTGCATTTTGGGGCCGTCTGGGGCCGTCTTGGGCGCCTGCGGGGCCGTCTTGGGACTGTCTGGAAGCCCTCTTGGGCCATTTGTGGCCGCTCTTGGAGCTGTCTTGACTGCTTGTCGGGCTGTGGAGGCACCACGGGAGCCGTCCTGGGGCCGTCTGGGGCCGTCTTTGGGGCCTCACGGGGGTTTCCTGAGGCGTCTTGGGGCGATCTTGGGGGCCTCTACTGTCGTCTTGGACACCTTGAAAACGAAAAAGCACGGGAATTGCGAAAATACGATGTTTGCTTGTGCGGGCTCTCTCGGGCGTCTTCAGGGAGCCAATTTGGAGTGTTTTGGGGGCCTCTTGGGCCGTCTGGAAACTATCTTGAGCGTCTTCGAACGCTGTTGGACCGCCTCGGAGGCCCTCTCGGACCGTCCTGGAACGTCTTCGGACTCTGTTGGAGGCCTCCCGGGGCGTCTCGGAGCGCTGTTGGGTCATCTTGGAAGCGCACTGGGGCCAGCTGGGCCTCGCAGGGGCCGCCGGGGCGCCAGAAACGGGTATCGGACCCCCGCCTTTTTCGCACGCACTGGCCCCTGCAATGTAGTAGAGACTAGTGCGAAACCATGGATTGAATCCACGGTTTGCTGAACCTGGGACTCGCAAGCCGCAGGTTTAATCCACGGAACAGGGCGTCGAAGCCGAACAGCTCGTGGAGTTCGTGGAGAGGACGGGGGGGAGGACACTGCAGGTGGAGGACCTCGAAACGCCTGAGCGTGCCGCGGCAACTACTCCGTGAAGGAAGGAATACGGTGGATTCCTGACGTGACGAGCTGCGTTGTGGCTCTTGACACCGCGTTGAACGCTCGACCCTGCACCATCGGCAGCTTCGAAACCGCGAGATACTTCAACGTCGACCGGTTCTGCACCAGTGTCGGCGTTGAGCCCTTGATGCCGGCGCTGGGTTCGCCGCCGCGTCAGCGCGACGCGAATTTGCGCACCTCTCCCCGCTGCTCGGTGAAGAGGGCCAAGAACCTCGTTCCGGGGATGGACAGACCTCCCTTTAGTAAAACGTGGTTTAGTGAAAACGACCTCGGGTCCAAACCTGGCGGGCGCAAGCCTGGAAAATAACGGCCGCGGCGCCCTCTCGAGAACCGAAAACGGACAATTCACTAATCGACGTGTCACTGTTGGGGGTTCTGTCCACCCCCGATCTGAAGGCCCGCAGCCGGCTGCATGCGCACGTCCTGCAGAGAGGCGAGGAGGCCGCCGCCGCGGGAGAGCGCTGGTCTGCTGGGGGTTGGCGGTGCCACTCCTGAGCCACGTCCCATCGGGCTGTGAGCGGGCTGCCCACTCCGCCATGGCGTTCCTGCTGGGGCGCACGCGCCACACGTGGCCCTGCATCGCTTCCCCGACGTTCGGGGCCTCCTGAGGGCCTGTCTGGGGCCCGAGGGGCCACTCTTGGGATACGTTTCGCGTCTCTTGGGCCGTGTCGGGGGCATCTCGGGTCCTCCTGCGAGCCTGTCTGGGGCCTCTGGGAAGCCTCTTGCAGTATTCTGGGCGCTTCTGGGCAGAGCCCCTTCTGGAGGACAGCCCAGGGAGCTTAGTTTGGAATCGCCTCTGGGCCTTCCTGGGGCGTCCTTGCGGCTCTCAAGGCCTCTGTGGGGATTCTCTTGGGGCCGTCTTGGGGGGCACATGGAGCTCTTTGGGGGCCGTCTTCGGGCGCTCTTGGGCCATCTTGAAGCCCTTTAGGGCCGACTAGGGCCTCTTGGGAGCCTGATGGGCAGTGCTGGGGCGATCTAGGAGGCGCTGGCAGCCGTTCCTGGGGCGAAGTGGTGTGAACCTGGAAATCCTTCCAAAACGACCGATCGCTTACGATTTTGGCCCCGCGGGGCCGTCACCGGGGTCCTCTTGGGTCGTCTTGGGAGGACTCCTGGCCAGAGTCTTGGGGCCTCTCTGGAGTCTCTCTGAGCCGTCGCTGGACGTCTTCGAGCCTCCCAGCGACCGTGCAAGGCCGTCCACGGAACCGCCCTGGGAGCGCCGGGGACAGTGTGCCGGCGCCCCGAGGAGCGGCGGGAGCAGCCCCGGGGGCCGAGCTGCGGCAGCGCCATCTCGCGCGCACGCGTGCGAGCACTGCCGTGTAGATGACGGTGGGCTCCAGCTTCGCCTCCCCCATCTCGCTCAGCAGCGACAGGGCCCGCTGCCACTGCTCGCCTTTCTCGCAGGCGCTGATCCCAGCGTTGTAGCTGACTGGTGTACTCCAGATTTCGTAATAAAGGGAGGGGGGTCTCATTTCGGGGGGGGTCTCTTCCAGGCTATCTTGGAGGGCCTGGGGGGGTCTGGGGACGATGTTTTGGAGGGTTCTCCCACGGGGGGGGGTCTAAAACTTCTCGTCTGGGAGGGTTGAGACCCCCTCCCTTTTATGACGAAATCTGGAGTACCCGTGGAGCAAATCCGCAGGTGCCCTGGCAAGGGAGCGCGACGGGGCCGATCTCGGGGCCATCTCGGGTCGTCTTATGGGCGCCTCTCGGGCCGTCTGGGGGGCTTTCCCTGGGCTGTCTTGCAGCTCTCTTGGGCCGTCTTGCAGCCTCGCAGGAGGTTCTGGGAGCACCCGAGGGACCTCGCGAAAACTGCCTCAAGAGGTGCTCGAGAGGGCCCGAACACGGCCCCAAGATGGCCCCGAGAAAGCACACGACGGATGCTACAACAGGGGGGTGCGTTGTGGCGTCCGCCGTTGGGGGGCCTCCTCGGGCTCTCTGCATGGAATGCTCTTGGGGCCGCCTCGGGATGCACCTGGGGCTCTACCCGGCTGTCTGTGGACCGTCTTGGGTAGTCTTGGGCGCCTCTTGGGCCGTCCTCAGGGTCTCTAGGGCCATCTTGGGCCGTCTTGGGGCCCTCCCGAACCACTTTGGGATTCTCTTTGGGAGGCCTCTTGGGCCAGCTTGTGGCGATCTTGGGGGCTGTTGGGCCGTCGTGGACGCTGCGAGGGCCCAAACATCGTATATGCTTCTTCGTTTCAAATAATACAGAAAGACTACGGAAAACCTGCGATTTCTGCAGCGGGAAAAGACCCAACGGATGTTACAACATGGGGTTGTAACATCCGTTGGGGGGCCTCGTCGGTCTCTTTGGGAGCATTCTTGGGGCCGTCTTGGAGTGCACCTGGGTCTCTTGTGGGCCATCTCTGGGCCATCTTGACTCGTCTTGGGCGCCTCTTGGGCCGTCTTGGGGCTCGCTTGGGCCGTCTTCGGGCTCTGTCGAACCGCTTTGGGATTCTCTTTGGAGGCCTCTCGGGCCGGCTTGGGGCGATCTGGGGGGGCTATTGAAGCGTCGTGGACGCCCAGAAGTCGTGTAAGCTGAAAGTGTTCGACAAAAACACTGCAAGCAACCTGCCATTACTGAACCAGGACGCCCTTCTGGAAGTGCTATTGGAGCGCTCTGGGGGTCTTATGGTATGCATGATGGCCATCTTGAAACCGTCTTGGGCTATCATAGGGCCCTCTGAAGCCGTCTGGATGCCATCTTGCGCCATCCAGAGGGAATCCATGGCCGTACTGGAAGCACTTTCGGGAAACTTGGAGGCCTCTTGGACTCGCCTGGGCCGTCTGGGAGGCACAGGCCCTCCTGGCGGGCCCTTCTGGCGGCCCCCCCTTGGCCTTGCCACGATATGCACCTTCCACGCGGTGCTCCCTCGTCCTCCTCGTCCTCCTCGTCCTCCTCGTCCTCCTCGTCCTCCTCGTCCTCCTCGTCCTCGTCCCCCTCCTCCTCGTCCTCGTCCTCCTCGTCCTCCTCGTCCTCCTCTCCCTAAGGACTGGGCCTCGTTTCCAGCGCGCAGAGCCCCGGTACTGTAGGACAGACCAGGGCTGACCCGTGGACTGCGTCCGCTCGCGAGGGGGAAACGGTGCTGCCGCCAGGCGCACTCGAACAAGTGGGGGCCCATGCTCGATTTCGTCCACAGATCTCGCGGAGCAGCGGATGGCGCCTGGTGTGGCTGGCCGTCACGAGCGCCGAGTCCAAGGATGTGTGGGCCGAAGTTCGCCGCTGCCCGGAGGACGAGATCGCACGCGGTGGCGGCATGGTGCCAGCCTGGAACTTATCCCTATCCCTATGCTGGGCACCTCCTCATCACGATCCCAATCTTGGGGATTCCCTTATTTTTTCAGGGCGAATCCCTAAGATTGTCATCGCCTTTTGGCGTGTCAATCTTAGGGATAGGGATACGCTCGAGGCTGGTAAGCATGGTAAAGCATGTCCGCGGCCGGGGCGCCGAGGTCGTCTTAGCACCCGAGCCCGGGGCCGCGGGCACGCCGTCGCATGGTCCGCGGCAGGGGTGCAGAAGCCCAGCAAGCCAGAGACCAGGGCCGCGGCCGGAATTCCACACGCCACCCCTGCGTGAATCGGGAGCGGCCAAGAGGGGGGTGTCCAAGAGTGGGGGGTGCAAATCATGACCGGCGGCATGTGCGCGGCCCAGCGGGGAGGCCAGGTACAGAATGAATAAAGAAGAGGCGGCATGAAATCTGGAGAAATATCATGGCCCCCGCCATGATATCCACCCCCCCTAGTCATCACCCCCCTCTTTTCCGCCCGAAGTCAACGACTTCGGCCTCCGAGAAGGGCCTCCTCGGTGCTCCCGGGCTGTGCTAAGGGCATCATTACAAGCCACGGGGGCGGTCTTCCGGTGATCTGGGGCGTCTTGGAACGCTCGCCGGCCGTGTCTGAGGCGTCTTCGACCAGCGTGGAGGCCGCGGAGACAACTTAATAGCACGGCACCTTCGTGTTTACTCTCGTCCGCGCCTCGCCGAGGGCTCAGGAGCCGCCCGGCGGCGATTTGGGGAGCCTCTGACCCCCAGGCCATTTTCGCACGCACGTATGCCAACATTGTAGGTTTGACTAGTGTGCGACCGTGGCCTATCGGCCACGACACCTGTCCGAGATGGCACGGTGGGGCAGGGTAGAGATGCTGAGCAGGGCTGTCGTGATGACGTTGGGCCCAGTCTTCGCCTCTGCTGTTGCTACCTGCAGCTGCAGGGTGCCGCTGCCTGCGGCGTGTTGCTGCTGCTGCTGCTGCTTAGTTGTGCGCTGCTTGCTGTGAACTGCGCACTGCTGCTGTTCATCTTTACTGCTTGCGGCTGCAGGGTGCTGCTTCTTGGTACCCTGACTATGACGGGGCCCTGGGACACACAAATAAATACACCCAAATAACATGATTCCCCATAGTTTCCCACATTTTCTTGGTTTTTGTCTTCCCCCCCACTTCCCATATTTTCCCATATTCTCTGGGGAATCGACGATTAATTGTGTCTGTGTGTTTTTTCCCCTCCTGATACTAACTGACGCAACCTGCAGCTCGTGAGTGGACCGAGGAGCGACGAGCAAGGAGCGAGGAGTCAGGGCCGAGGGGGAGGTGGGGGACGCGACGAGCGATCGGCTATGACGGGGCCCTGGGACACACAAATAAATACACCCAAATAACATGATTCCCCATAGTTTCCCACATTTTCTTGGTTTTTGTCTTCCCCCCCACTTCCCATATTTTCCCATATTCTCTGGGGAATCGACGATTAATTGTGTCTGTGTGTTTTTTCCCCTCCTGATACTAACCGACGCAACCTGCAGCTCGTGAGTGGACCGAGGAGCGACGAGCAAGGAGCGAGGAGTCAGGGCCGAGGGGGAGGTGGGGGACGCGACGAGCGATCGGTGAGGAGCAAAGAGCGAGATGGTAAGGGCGACGGCCGAGGAGAGAGAGCGAGGCAAGGAGGGATGAGGGAGAGCCGAATCAGAGGGGGCAGGCAGACGCCAGCAGCCAAGAGGGAGAAGCGGTGGGGCCAGTAGAGAGGGGCTGGAGGGGCGACGGAGAGGGAGGAGAGAGGAGCCACGAGCGAGGAGAGAGGGGCGAGGAGCGAGGAGAGAGCGGCGAGGAGCGAGGAGCGTGGAGCGAGGAGCGTCGAGCGAGAACGAAGGCACGAGCAGAGGCCGGCACGCGAATGGTTCAGTGGCCCCGGCGCACGTGTGGACACGCCGGCAGCAGCCCAAAGCTCGGAGGGAGGGCCGGCCCAGGGCGGGGGTCGGCCCAGACTGCCACTGAAGAGTCCTTCCTGCACGCACGGGCCCCGGCAGAGCAGCAGGGATGAAATTGGGCTCCAGCCTCGCCTCCCACATCTGGCCGAGCAGCGACAAGGCCCGCTGCCACTGCCCGCTCTTCCCGCACGCGCTGATCCCAGCGCTGTAGCTGATGACGGTGGGCGCCAATCTTGCCTCCCGCATCTCGCTGAGCAGCGACATGGCCCGCTGCCACTGCTTGCCCTTCTCGCACGCGCTGATCCCAGCGTTGTAGCTGAGAACGTTGGCCTCCACCTTCTTTTCTGCAAGCTTGGTGAGAAGAGACAGCGCCTGTTCCCACTGCCTGCCTTTTCCAAGCGCGCTGACAGTTGCAATATATCGGCCTGGGCCTGCCACAAGCGGCTGAGACGCACTGTGCAACACTGGAGGCATTACGCTCCGGTGCGGAGTCCTCCCGCTCTTCATCGAAGCCATATCGAGAGAAGAAACATGTGGTCGATATTCTCCCATCGGGTGCCCAGCACGAAAGGTTCCAGCCACGATAGCGTGGGCTCTGGATTCTGAGGGGCAGCACTCGGAGGGACCAGCTCGGGGGGGGGGGGAACATCGACCTGGAATCTCTGAGCCCGTCGCCCCCGAAGTTGCCCCTGAGTCTCTGCCACCGCGCGAACCCTTCAGTCTTGAACTATCGACCTCGTCATCTTCGGGAGCGGCCAAGAGGGGGGTGTCCAAGAGGGGGGTGTGCAAATCATGACCGGCGGCATGTGCGCGGCCCAGCGGGGGGGCCAGGGACGGAATGAAACAAGAAGAGGCGCCATGAAATCTGGGGAAATATCATGGCCCCCGCCATGATATCCACCCCCCCCTAGTCATCACCCCCCTCTTTTCCGCCCCCGACATCTAGCGGGTGGTGCTGCTTGAGCACAGAACGCCCGCATCCGCCACGCCGCCGCACGGAGTCGGCACGGGAACCCGCCGCGCACTGGGCCCCGAGAGAACGTCGGCCAGACCGCCCGCAGCAGGCATGCGGGGCGGGACAGAGCCGGGCCAGCCAGAAGGGTCTGAGCCCGCATGGGCACGGAGGAGGAGGAGGAGAAGGAGAAGGAGGAAGAGGGAGGAGAGAAGAGGAGGAGGAGGAGGAGGCCGAGAAGGAGAGGGAAACAAAGGGAGAATAAGAGGAGAGAGAGAGAGAGTACGCAAAGCTTGTCGCAAGAGGGGGAAAGACCAGGCGCCCTGCCATCTTGAGCCAGGTACCCAATTGTTTTGCGCAAGCGCGCCAGGGAACCCCCCCGCTTGCAATGCACAGGAGGCACCTGGTCCTCCTCTTCCTCCGCCACCTCCTCCTCCTCCTCCTCCTCCTCGCACGTCGCCCTCCTCCTCCTCCTCCTCCTCCTCCTCCTCCTCCTCCTTCCTCCTCTCCCTGGAATCCCTCCTCCTCCACGTCCGCTCGACTCCGTCCCTCCTCTGCTCCTGCTCCTCCCCTCTCCCTCCTCCTCCTCATCTCACCCATCATCATCATCACCAGTCTCACCACCCTACACCGTCACCATCACCATCATCATCATCATCTCATCATCAATCATCATCTCATCATCATCATCATCATCATCATCATCATCATCATCATCATCATCATCATCATCATTATCATCATCACCGTCATCATCCTCATCATCATCAGCATCACATCATCATCATCATCATCATCATCTCATCATCATCATCAACATCATCATCATCATCATCATCATCATCATCATCATCATCATCATCATACCATCATCATCATCATCATCATCATCATCATCATCATCATCATCATCATCATCATCATCATCATCATCATCATCATATCATCATCATCATCATCATCATCATCATCATCATCATCATCATCATCATCATCATCATCATCATCATCATCATCATCATCATCATCATCATGGCCGTGCGACCGCAGTGTTGCACTCGCGCTCCAAGCACCTCTGGTACGAGGTTTGCGAGACAAGAAAAACGTCGTGCTTCAAATGCTCTGGGGCCGCCAGAAGCGGCCGTACGCGCGCAGGCCCGTCCGACTGGCCAGACTGCCCGTTTTTTCGTGTGCTTTCTGTGGGAAAAATTGAGCACGGCCGCGCTCGTTCCACACTTCTGTCACATCCGCTGCGCTCTCATGACGGCCGTTTTTTCTTGTCACTCGCGTTCCAAGCACCTCTGGTGTGAGGTCTGCGAGAAAAAAGAAAACGTCGTGCTTCAAATGCGTCGTCCGGGGGCGCCACAGGCGGCCGCGCGCGCGCAGGCCAGTGCGACTGGCCAGGCTGCCAGGCCTGTTCTAAAAACCTTCAACCAACACTGTTCGCCAGCTTGCAGCGTGAGTAGAATGCCTCACCGGTAGCACATGAGCGCCAGCCGCGGCGGGCACAGGCAGCGCGCTCTGGCGCGGAAGCAACGCATGCTGTCCACTGACCGCTCAGGACGAGGAAGGGGAAGAGGAGGGAGACGCGCGAACTGCACTTGTCGACGCGCCCATGCGACAGCACGCGCAATACTATTGACCTGCAGGGGGTCAGCGAGACCGCGGAAGCGGGCGCGCAGCGCGGCCCTGAAGTGCCTCTTCTGGCTTGCCGGCTTCACAGCCCACGCGTCGGCCGCGCGTCCAAAGTAGGCTCGACGCGGGCTGCAGAGCCGAGCCCAGCCACAAGGACGCAGTCTGCAGCGCGCCGAGCCGCCGAGCCAGCCAAGGTCTGGCAGCGCGGGGCATGGGAAGCACTATCGGGGGATCACCTTCGGAGGCGCGGAGAACACCTTCGTGAGACGCCCCGGCAAAGAGGAGGCGCAAATCGGCCTGCCGGGACCGAGCGCAGCCACCCAGAGACTAAACGGCGGCGAGTGATCCGATGCCGCCAACCCAGGGAATTTGTCCCAGATGCGGCAACAACCAGCGAGGCGCCACCGGGATGCTAGACGCGACTTGTGGGGGGGGAGACCCCCGCCGAGGTGAATTTCGGAGCAGACCGCCGCCTCCTGCAGATGCATGCAGGGCACGAGGGTGGCCGGGCACAGATGTTCCTGCCATCCGCGCAAGCTCGAAGTCCAGTCCAGGGCGCGCACGGCCTGCGAGTCGCGCTACGAGCACGCGCTAGCGGGGACGCATGCGAACCGCGCGCGGCCGACCAACGGCACCAAAAAGGGGACACGAGCGGGCAGAGACCCCTGCGCGCGCGGTGGCAGGAGAGGTTGTTCGGTTGTTATCATCATTGAAATCTTCCTCTTTCTCTGTCTTTGTTTTTGTGTTATCTCTCTCTCTCTCACTCTCTCTCTCTCTCTCTCTCTCTCCCGCGAGCTCGCCGCGCCGGCCTGCCTCCCCCGGCGGGCCAGCGCGGCTCGTGGAAGTAGAGCCCGCGTCCCACCTGCAGTGGGACAGCGCGGCACTTGGAAACGAAGCCCACACTCCGCCTCCAGCGGGCCAATGCGGCCCTTGGAAATCACCGCCGCGCGCATCCCACACCAAGTGGGCCACTGCGGATCGGCGTGCTCGCTGCGCCGCAGTCGCGGACGTTGTTCGCCAGATGCGAGCGCCCCAGCGGGCAAATGTGGACCAGCATGCTCGCTGCGCCGCATTCGCGAAGACAGTTCGTCAGATGCGAGCGCCCCAGTCGGCCAATGTGAGTCGGCGCGCTAACTGCGTCGAATTCGCGAACGCAGTTCGCTGGGTGCGAGAGTAGGCCTCGCCCCGCACGAATGCCCGCCGGGATGGGGCCGGCGGCCACCCGGAGCGGGGCCAGCTCTTCGACCAGTCCGTTCGACGGCACGACCCTGCCGAAGTCCTTCGTCGGAAAGATGGCGGTGAGGCCCATGAACCTCGCCTCCCCAGGGCGGTAGAACACGTGGATTGATGAAGGGGCCCCAGGACACACACACATAAATACACACAAATAAAAATACCCCTTATATTTTCCTATATTTTCTGGGTTTCTGTCTTCCCCCCACTTCCCATAATCCCATTTCTTGGGGATCGACGATTGATTGTGTCTGTGTGTGTTTTCCCCTCCTGAATTGAGCTCGTGCCGCCGAGCGCGGAGAGGCCGCCGCCCCGCGGCTTCTCGCGGGCGGCGCCGACTATAGCGCGGCGCCGACCACGGCGCCGCGCAGCCCGCCCACGACGACCGCGAGAGCGGAGGCGCTGGCCCGCGAGCACGCCGCCGGCCTCCGCGCCGCCCCCCAGGGGCCTGCCGACGCCCTGGGAGGCTCCAGCGCCGAGCCTGGCCGCGCGGCCGCCGTCGCAGACCTCGACGCACTCGGCCGCGGCGCGCTCCCCGGCGCGATGCAGATCGAGCCGGCGCCGCCAACCGCAAGGGCGCCGCCCCCCCTGAGCTTCTCGCGAATGACGACTGCGGCGCGTCGGCGACCACGTCGTGGCGGAGCTCGCCCTCGAAGATTCAACGGGCGAAGAACGGTATAAAATAGACTTTTTCGCCGTCGGGGGCGCCTGTCCGAGGGCGGCTGGAAAGTTGATACCCTTGCGGTGGCACCGTAGGGGCATCAACTTTCCAGCCGCCCAGGGGCAGGTGTCTCCGACGGCGGGAAGTTTATGTTATACCGCTCTTCGCCCGCTGAAAGATGTCGAGGTGGGAGCGCTGGTCCATAAGCATGCCTCCGGCCTCCTTGCCGGCCTCGAGATACTTGCCAGCCCGCTCCCAGGTCCACGCGCCCGAGGCGGCGGTGCGGCCGCTGGCGCAGCATTCGCCGAGCCCGGCGACGGCGTGCTCCTCCGCGTGGCTGTCGCTGGCCTCCATGAAATCGAGGGCCTCGCCATGCGCGCAGGAGCGCTCGCCGCGCGCGAAGCAGCAGCAGCAGCCCGCCTTTGAAGGGGCCCCAGGACACACAAATAAATTCACACAAAGAAATGGATTCCCAATATTTTCCCATATGTTCTGGGTTTCTGTCTTCCCCCCCCCCCCCACTTCCCATATTTTCCCGTATTTTCTGGGGGATCGAGGATGCATTGCGTCTGTGTGTGTTTTTTCCGTGCTGAACCTTCAGCGCGACGATCCAGATGCCATCGCCCGAGGCACCGCGGCCCCGCTGGATCGCGCGCGGCCGGCACGCCAGCGCCCCCCCGAAGCCTGCCGCGGAATCCGCCGGGCGGTAGAGCGAGGGCGTCCCCTCGCAGCCGACGCCCACGCGGGCGACCTCGCAGGCCGCGCCCTTGGCGACCATCACATCCATGGCGCCCCGGGCCGACGGCGCCGGGTGCCCGGGCCGCGCGCGGCGCGCGCGCCGTTGTCGAGCACCCCCCCAGTCGCCGCCGCCGGCCTTGATCTGGCCCAGGCTGCAGCGCGCGATGAGGACGTCAAAAAGACCGGCACCCTTCACAGAGAGCGTCGTGCTCCCTGTGCTGGCAGCGGATCCGCTGGCATGTCGCGCCCGCGCCGATCCTGCCGCTGGCGAGCGGAATGACATCGCAGCGGCGCCCGTGGGCGCTCTTGTCGGGCCCGCCGCAAGGCGTGCTGCTGATGTAGATCTGGCACCGAGCGCTCTTAAGCTCGGGGTCGGCAGGCTGCGGCGGGAGGCCGAGGTCGCCCCTGGCGGCGCGGGCGACGCCCGAGACGTCCGCCGGCCCGAGGGCCCCGAGAAATGGAGCGAGAAAATGGCCGCAGCGGCCCACCGCGGCCAGGTCCTCCACAGCGACGTCGGCGCAGCGCGCTGCCGGCGCGCCGTCCTTGCAGCGGGCCGTCGGGCACCTGGACATGCCCATGCAGGAGCAGTCGAGCTCACCAGCAGCCCATTCCTCATCCGAGGCCGGGGCTCCCTCCGGCGAAGCCAGGATGACATCGGCGGCCCGCCGCGAGGGGAACGGCTCCGAGGGCAGGCCCAGCGCCCGCGTCGCGCACGGCAGGCCCCCGGCCAGGAAGTGGGCGGTCAAGTTCGAGAACGTGGGCCCCTCGGAGCCATGAAGCGCACAGCTCGGGCCCGTGCCGCTGACGGTCGAAGCGCCGCCCTCCCTCGAGGCCTCGCGCGGGCGATGGCGCCGACCAGCGCGTCCCTGATCACGCCGTGGCGCAGCTCGACCTTCAAGGGTGCGCGGGCAGGAGATGGTCGCCCAGCGCGCCTCCTGCCGCCGCGCCGCCCTCCAGGTACTTGCCAGTGCCCTTGGAGTCAGGCCCAAGTGCGCAACTCGGACGCGCGGCCGCTGACGTAGATCTCTCTATAGGCCTGGCTACGGCGTGCACCTCGGAGTGCTCGTCGCTGGCCGCCACGAAATCGACAACCTCGTCGTCCGCGCAGGAGCGCTCGCCGAAGGTCTTGCAGTGACTAGTCGCCAGCCTTCAGCTCGATACAGTCGGGGCGTTGACCTAAGGAACCCTAAATGAGGAACGAGGCCCCTTTTTTCCAGAAGTTAAACTTCGATTTCCGATCGAAAACATAAGGAAAACGCAGGGCAAACTGTAAAACCATCAAGGAACACCGAGCCCCCCCCCAACGACAAGCCTTCTTCAGCGGCCCGACTGTAATCCTGATGCGCTCCCTCCAGAGGAATCCCGGTTCTGATTCGGCACGAGGGGTTAGAATGCCATGATTTGCTCGATCGTGCAGGTGTCCTCCAGGCCGATGTTCTGTCAGGTCACCCTGACCAGCGCGTCATTCGCCCCCGTGAAACCCATCACGTCCGCGGGCGGCCAGACCTGGATCCCTTTTTCGGTGGATGAGGCACAGGCCATGGTCGACCCTGCCCTGGTTGCCGCCGCTAGCGTCGATCTGCTCCAGGCTGCAGCGCACGATGGTGAAGTCGAACTGGTAGCGGAACGTGAAACATGTGACGTGCTCCTGGTGGACACGGCTGATCCGCTGGCAGCCCATGCTCGCGCTGATCATATCGCTGGGAAGCGGGAGGTGGGTGAAGTATCCGATGGAGTACAGGAAGACGTAGAGGCGGGATGAGGAGCTCGACAAGAACGACCGCCACCACCACCATCAGTCCTCCGAGGTCAGCTAGCGTCAGCGCTATGGAGATCTCGGCGCACGTGGCCATGAGGATGCACAGCGCCAGGTAGTAGAACTGGTGCTGCCACGTGGGCGACATGATGAGGAACAACTCTGTGAACACCACGCCGAAAGGGGAGGATACCACCCACGAGGCCGGTGACAACCGGGTGGATAAACCAGGGCTGTGCCAGGATCTGCCAGGGAATCTCGTTCGTGTGGACGGGCAGCTCGATGCTGGCCTTGCAGAGGCCCAAGTAGGCGCCTTGGCAGACCAGGGGCACAGAGATGCCGAACCAGAGGCACAGCAGCGCGAGCATCGTCGTGAGGGGCACGGCGCCGGACGACTTCTCCCCTCCGACGAAGAGGTCCACCGCGAGAAAGAATACAAAAAACAGGTCGGGGTGAAGGAGGCTGTCAGAAGCGCTGTCGTCTTCCAGTCCGTCCCGTTGAACACCTTGTACTGGCGAGGCGCGGTGTCGAGCTCCCCGCTGCCGATCTTCAGCGACTTGATGCCTTGCCGTGCTTGTCCGCCCCGACGAGGTCCTCGTTCGGAGCGTCGGCCAGGCAGGCGTTCGGCGCGTCGTCGGTGCAGCAGCCCGGCAGACACTCGGAGAGGCCTACGCAGGAGTAGCTGAAGTCGTTCAAGATCCGCTTCCCCTCCGACGTCGGGATCCCCTCCTCTGCGACCATGCTGTTGCGGAACTCCCCTCCCCACGATGCGCGGGCAGAAGCGCTGGTTCACCAACATGCCGCCGGCGTCCGTGCCGGCCTCCAGGTACTTGCCGGTGCCCTTGGAGGTCCACTTTCTGGACCTGGCCGTGCGGCCGTTGACGTAAAGCTCGACGTCCGCAGCGACGGTGTGCTCCTCGGAGGGGCTGTCGCTGGGCTCCATGAGGTCCAGCACCTCGTCGTCGGCGCAGGTGCGCTCGCCGTAGCTCTTGCAGTAGTTGCCTGCCTTCAGCTTGATGATCCAGATGTCCTCATCCAAGGATCCGAGAGAATGCTTGATCACACAGGGAGCGAAGGCCATAGTCTCCTTGAACTCTGAGTCGAACAAGGCGAGGTCGTAGAAGGGCAGCCTCTGGGAAGCCATCCTGGTCCCCGCACCAGTCGCACTGGGGCGAGTCAAGGCCTCCGTGGAGGAGGCACCCCTAGGCTCCTCAAGCGGGCGCGCTTGAGCGCCGAGAACTTGAGCGTGATCGCGCTCATTCCACACTATCGTCATATCAGCTGTGCTCTCACCATCACCATCACATCACATCATCATCATCATCATCATCATCATCATCATCATCATCATCATCATCATCATCATCATCATCATCATCATCATGATCATCATCATCATCATCATCACCACCATCATCATCATCATCATCATCAGCATCATCACCATCATCATCAACATCATCATGACCCCTCTCATGTTCATCGGCATCATCAGTATCATCATCATCATCATCATCATCATCATCATCATCATCATCATCATCATCATCATCATCATCATCATCATCATCATCATCATGGTCATCATCGTCATCATCATCATAAGCACCACCATCATCTTCATCACCATCATCAGCATCACCACCATCATCATCAACATCGTCATCATCAGCAGCAACAGCACGGTCACCGTCACCATCATCATCATCATCATCATCATCATCATCATCATCATCATCATCATCATCATCATCATCATCGACAACAGCACCATCAACCATCATCACCGTTGCCATGGTCAGCATCATAGTCACCATCAACATCATCATAATCATCATCAACATCATCATCATCATGAACATCAGCAGCATCATCATCAGCATCATCCCTCCGCCTCCTCCTCCTCCTCCCTTGATCTCCTCCTCATGTTCTTCATTCCGCCTCATTTTCCTGAGACCCTGAGACCCTGACGGCCGAAATGTCATCCGACGTTGCCTCCCCCCAGGGCTTGTCGGCCCCAGGAGGGGGGGGGGTCAAGCCAGTGCGCCAGGTGACCTCGGGGCGGTCGCACAGGGAGTCAGCGGCTGGTGGGGTACGCTGTACACGGCGGAGGGAGGTAAGCGACGGCAGAACGGGCAGGAAGAAGGCGGAGGGAAAACACGAGTCACGACCTCGAAGAGGGGGAGGGGGAGAGAATTGAAGTGGCACGCAGCGGTGGCACCAGGTGATCGTGTGGCAGTTGGGCGCGCCGGCGGGATTGCGAGGGCCCCGCGCGCCAAGGGGGATGGTCCAAGGGCACCTTCCCTGAGCCACAGTGAGGCCCGTCCGTCGAACGCCAGGAGACCGTCGCCGCCGAGGCGAGCAGCCGGCACTCGCGACTGGCCCGAAGGCCACTCCAGGTTTTCCCGCTGGCAGAAGGGAGGTTTGCACCCTCCGGTTGCGGGGGCTCTGTCTTCTCATCAAGTAATCCCACACGCGCGCCATTAGTAACCCCACGTAAGAACTAGCTGGCACTTGCTGGATGGCTAAGGCGGTTGCGGGTAGTAATACCAAGACAAGCGGAGCAAACTGGCATGTACAAAACAAGTTAGGAAAGCGCGTACAAGCGCGATGCTGCAACTGGATGTGGTATGCATGGCGCGTGCCCTTGCAGCCTGGGGTTGCCGTGGCCCTTGCCATGGCAGCGGTGGCTCGGCTCCTTTCCATCCCATCCCGATACGAATCCCCATAATGAGCCGTCCTCCCCGGTCATAGGAATGGGTAGGAGAAGGTTAGTGGTGCGAAAGGTGGGAGGAGGCCTGATACTAACGAGGAAGGACCCAGGAGGGAGTTAAGGTTGGTGGGTCCATGGCCACTTTTTCAGCCGCACGCAGTTGCTGCTGTATGTTTTCGCGGTCGTTGTTGCTTTCGGTGGGCTTCTGCTGCGCCGTCCTGAGCTCGCTTTGCAGTGCCACCATTTCAGCATGATCTCGGCGTACGCCTCACCGCCTCGAGCTCCTCCTCCGTCGTCCTGCGCTGTGCTGCACTGTTCCTGACATATGTATTGACTTCGTAGTGGGCTGCCGATATTTCATTCGTAATTCTGGCCTTCTCGATCTCGTCCTTCAGCTTGTTCGGGTGGCGTCGGGCATGGGCTGCCTATCGATGTGGTCTTTATTCCTGCTCTTGTGCGATCTGTTCTTCAGCGCGTCGGTGTTTCTGGAGGCGGGGGATCTCATCATTGGCGTCGTTATTGTTCTTCTTGATGTCCTGCGCCATTCGATGATCGTCCTCCCGACGGGTTTTCAGGAGGCCGACGTCGTGCCCCTCTGCCGCCTCCCCGGCCCTCGTTCGCCCTCTTGATGCAGGCGTAGGCGCCCTTCTGTGCGATCCATCTCCCTGTGGTCTGCCTGCCTCGCCGTCGGCAGCTCCAGCATCGCTGTAAACGTCGGCCCTGGATCCGTTGATGTCCCGTTGCATGGTGTTGAGCTGGTTGATGCTGGCCTCCAGCTCGGCGACGTGCCTCTCGATATTGCTCTTGTGTGCCTTGGTGTGTTCGTTGTAGTCCTCCATGGTCCGCTTGGTGCTATCTATGACCCCCGGCCTGTTGAGCTGGAAGCATGCTGCTGATTATCATGGCTTTGATGAAGGCAAAATGCGCCACAGCGTCTGTAGTGGGTAGTTCTGCAGTGCTGTTCTTCATGATAGCTGCTGCTTCTCGCCTTTGTTAAATGGCCTGTGTTCATGTCCAATCGTCTCTGAACTCGGGGTCGTTCGGTGGTGACTCCCAACCGTGCCTGCGGGCGACGCAGACCTTGTGCATGGCCACGACGTTAACGATAATGATGATGGTGCTGATGATGATGATGATTATGATGATGATGATGATGATGATGATGATGATGATGATGATGATGATGATGATGATGATGATGATGGTGATGGTGATGATGGTGATGATGTTGTGACGTGGTCGTTGTAGTCCTGTGAGGCGTCCTTCTATTACTTATTGGCCGCGCGTTTGTCCTCGTGTTGGGACTTGTGCTTGTTGTCTTTGTGCTTGCCCTTCTGGTTGCGGTTGTCGCCCTCGGCGTCCTCGTCGGAGGGCTTGGGGAAGCTTCCCTTGCCATTGCCCGCGGAGGCTGTGTTCTCTTGCCGTTGGAGCCGTTATTCCAACAGGTGTCGGGGTGGTCGCTGGCCCACTGCCCCACCCACATGTTGTCCATCCAGCGCTCGAGGCCCGCTCCAATCGCCATTGGTGTAGCGCGTGGTGTCGGCCGTTTGCTTGAAGTGCGGCTCGAAGTGCTTCTCCACGGTGGCGTCGTAGCCGATGGTCCGCTCGCGCTTGATCTCCATGATGCCGCCAGAGTGGAAGCGTGATGTGGATGTAGTGGTGGTTGTTGTGCGCTGTGATGCGAGTGGGGTAGCTCTTGTGCAGCGTAGAGATGATGCCGCGTACGTTAACCGAGTAGAGAACGTGCGGATGCGACTCGTAACAATGCTCGCGCAGCGGCTCGACGTTCTCATTCGCCTCTGTGCCAAGCTGGGCCGGAAGACGTAGAAGTCGCAGTGTCCTGAGAGGGAACAAGAGGTAGTCGAAACGGAGTGTAAGGGTACGGCTGGGAATCATGAGAGAAGCGAAGAAAAGCACAACTAATATTTCGGTCGAGGCTGGCCCCCTAAGGCTGGCACACTGCCACGGGCTTTTGAGCAAACCGTGGCTCCTCCTCCTCCTCCTTCTCCTCCTTCTCGTTCTTCCCTCCGCATCTCCCATCCGCATCCCCCATCCTTTCCTTCTCCTCCCTGC